ACACACACACATACATCTATGTCCATATACACATATATATAGACTCCAATTTGATATACAGGGCACCAAATGTGTTTCTATATATACTTACAGGGCAACAATTTGCTATTCAGGGTGCCAATTATACATACAGGGTGCCAATTTGATATATAGGGCGCCCATTTCTTAYATGGGGCACCGGTTATGCCTCTAAAGTGCAAAAGACATATATAGGGTGCCAGTTTGCTTTGCAGAGTACCGATTATATATGCAACGTGTCATATGTATAGGGTCCATTTGATGAAGCAGGGTGTCAGGGCACTGATTCTATCAGTTATATGCGTGGGGCGCTGATTATATATATAGGGGGACCCTTAGATGAAGCAGAAGTCGGGCAGCGCCCTGAGAGCACCGGGCTCGAGGTCTGAGCGGCTCTCGCTGGGCCGGGCGGCCTTCAGAGCCGCCTTCCTTTCAGCCCCATGCCCCACACAAAGATGGCCGCTCTGGAGGCTCATGGCGTAATTCTCCGCCCCGCTGCCCTTCACAAAGATGGCGGCGCCCGGGCGGGGTGGGGTGGAGGGGCGCCGCCCCTCAGCAGCCGCATGGGCCTGCACACCGCCTTGCCCCACACAAAGATGGCGGCGGGCAAGAGCGGGGCGCTGCGGAGTGGGCCAATGGGGAGCCGCCTTGCTATGGGTTGCCATGGAGACAGCCAACGGCGCGCGAGGATGTGCCCTGGCGGCGCCGCGCCGCCCGGCGGGGCAGGGGGCGAGCGCGGAGGCAGGTGAGCGCGGCGGCGGTGCCGAGCGCCGCCCGTCCCGCCCCGCCCCGCCCCGCCCCGGGTGCACGGCCCGCGGGGAGCGGCGTGCATCCCGCCGGGTGCATAGTCCCCATGGCGGGTGCATGCATCACCCCCGGGTGCACGGTCCGCATGGTGCGGTGCATGCATGGCCGCCAGCTGCGTGGCCCCCGTGGTGGGGTGCATGGTCCCCACGGGGGTTGCAGACATCACTGACAGCTGCATGGTCCTCATCGGGGGTGCATGCATCGCCACCGGGTGCATGGTCCCCACTGGGTGTGCATGCATCGCCAGCAGGTGCATGGCTCATGCAGCATGTGCATGTGGGGCCCCTGGGTGCCCGACCTATGTGGGCTGTGCATGCATGATGCCTGGGTGCACGAGCTGCATGGGGCTCACATACAGCACCCGTGGGTGTACGGCCTGGTGTGGGGGGCGTGCAACACCCCCAGGGTCATGGTCCGTGTTGGGTGTGCATGCAGCATCTCTGTGGCTCCTAGGGGCTGTGCATGCATGGCACGGGGGGTGCATCACCCGTGGGTGTGTGGCCCATGAGGGGTGTGCAAGCACTGCCTGTGGGTGTGTGCTCCAGATGGGTTTGCAAGTGTCACCCGTGGGTGCACAGCCTGTGCAGGGTGTGTGTGTGTCACACAAAGGTGGGCACGTTACCAGAGGCCATGGGCCCGGGCAGCCGCCCGGGCTGTTGTGCACCTATTGCCCTGGCTGCTGCAGCYGCTGTGCRTGCAAAGGGGAACCACCAGTGCCCCCCAAGAACGCCTGGCTCCGGCACTGGCTGTGCGGGATGAGGGAGCCTTTCCCTGCTGTAGCTGCCTCTGCTCCTTGTCCCTCTGCTCCGGCACTGAGCAGCCTTTCCCGGACCCACCCTGCAGCGCTCGGGCCGCTCCAGCCGTCGGCAGGGAGCAGTATTCCCCCGTGCTGCCGGGATCCGCGCTCCGCAGGGCACAAAGCCCTGGCGAGCRACCGCGGGCCTTCCCAGCGCCGCTTCCCGCTGGCTCCCAGCTGAGCTCGGTGCCGCTCTGCGGTGTCCGGGGCGGCCAGCTGAGCCCACGCTGCAGAGACAGGGCCGGCTGGAGGGCGGCTCCACGATGGGTCTTTGCAGCCGGAGCTGGAATTYCCCCAAGCCCCCGTGCTGGCACCGAGCCCAGCGTGGTCGCTTGGCCAGAGCCCGCCAGGGTGCAGGACGCTGTGGAGACGCCAGGGTCCCCGACGTGGGGGTCCCCRCAGTGTCCCCATGTCCCTGGAGGAGGGGACCCATGCGTGGGCACAGCTCCACTCCGGCTGCTGCCGGGCTCCTGTTGCTGCCGCCCGCTCGTGTTTCAGGGGCTGCGACCCGCACGGCTGCTCGCCACGCGGCGGGCGGCCGCAACCCGAACCGGCAGCTGCGGTTTCACAGGCAGCGGGGCTGGCCGCCGCGCTCACATCCTCCGCGGCCGTCGCCAGCGCTGGCACTTGCCCCTGCGCAGGCGGGAGGAGCCGCGGGCAGCGGGGCGGGCGCCGCGCTGCTCCCCGGTGCCCAGCGGCCGCTCTGTCCCGCACAGCCCTCGCCCGGCGCGCGCGGAGCCCGGCGCCATGACCCTCACCAAAGGCTCCTTCACCTACTCCAGCGGCGAGGAGTACCGCGGCGAGTGGAAGGAGGGTGAGCGGGGCGCGCGGTGCCGCGGGGTGCCGCGGGGCGCCCGACGCTGCCCCGTTGCTGGCGGGCAGCGCTTGGCCCCGCTCCCAGTGCTGCCGCCCTGGCGCAGGGCGCCGGCACGGCATCGGGCAGCTCACGTTTGCCGACGGCACCGCCTACGTGGGGCACTTCGAGAACGGGCTCTTCCACGGCTGCGGCGTGCTCTCCTTCCCGGACGGCTCCAGGTGAGCGCGGGCACCGCGCGGCCCCGGCACGGCCTCGGCGCCGCTGAAAGGGACCCTCTGTCCCGCGCAGGTACGAGGGGGAGTTCGTGCAGGGCAAGTTCAACGGCGTCGGCGTTTTCACGCGCTGCGACAACATGACCTTCGAGGGCGAGTTCAAAGGCGGGCGCGTGTACGGCTTCGGTGAGTGCTCCGGAGGCGCCGGCGCGCGCCCGGACTCCGGCCGCCTGGCACGGTGCATGCGGCCCCGGGAGCGCCGGGCAGCCTGGGGCATGTGCACCCCGGCCCCACCGGCGGCGGCACCGCTCACCACGGCCCCGCTTGCCCCCGTGCCCCTCGGCCACCCCTCTTGTGCTTCCCTTCGGTGTCTCCCACTGTGTCCGTGCAGTCCCGACCTGGCGTGCGCTGCCCCCACCCCGTGACTCCCGGCCGCTCCCCCCCAGGTCTCCTGACGTTCCCCGACGGCTCCCACGGAGTGCCGCGCAACGAGGGCTTCTTTGAGAACAACAAGCTGCTGCGGCGCGAGAAGTGCCCGGCCGTGATCCAGAGGGCCCAGAGCGCCTCCAAGTCCGCGCACAACCTCACGGCGTGAGGGCAGCGCGGGCCCCGCTGCCGTGGGGCACGGCAGGGCTCCGCGCGTGCCGGSGCCACCCTGGTGCCTTCTCCCGCCGGCCGCAGCCCTGGTGGCCGCCGTGCCCTGTGCCCAGGCCAGGGCAGCAGCCGCAGGGGCTCGGGGACGGGGCGGATGGGGGGACCCCCTCGCCTGGGGTGCTGGCCGGGGCTGGCGGGCAGCTGGCTGGACCACGTGCCCAGCCTGGCCTCGGGCTCGCTGCAGGGACGATGCTGCCTCCTCGCTGTGCCAAGCGGCCGCAGCGGGAGCCGCGGGGATGGCGAGCAAGGAGCCTGGGCATCACGGAGCTGCGCACCGGGGCAGGGATGTGGCTGCCGGTGCCRGCAGGGAGCACCCGCTCCTGTCTCACCCCGTGTGCAGCCCTCTCCTCCCTGCTGCAGACACCCCCAGTGCCCCTCTGCCCTGGGGTGCTGGCAGCCGTGGGGCGGCAGCGGGGCCGTGCGCTGGCGGCGGCTCCGTGCCCACCCCGCTCCCGTGCCTTGCTGTGTCCCTGCCTTGCGCTGCCGCCCGCACGGGCCGCAGCTCAGTAAAGCGCGTTGCCAAACGCCGCCCGTCTCCTCTGTGCCGTGGCGCGCGCGGGCACGGACGCGGGCACGCRGGGCCTGCAGGGACGGCAGGTTTATTCCCATCTCGGCACGCTCCAGGGCRCAGCAGGGGCATCGCCAGCCCGGGACACACCGCAGGCACAACGGGGACCCTGCGGGCTGAGCTCCTGGCACTGCCACGGGCACAGCAGGCCGTGGGATGGCTCCTGGGGGCCACGGGCGGCCCCTCAGAGCCAGCCGTTGGCGCTGAAGGCCTCCCTCAGCTCCTGCTCCTGGCTGGCGCTCAGCGGCGCCAGGGGCGCGCGGCACGGGCCCCCGTGGTAGCCGAACCACTCCATGGCCTTCTTGAGCCCCGCGATCCCGAAGCGCCGGGTCACCTGCAGGAACACGGGTGCCAAGACRCACAGGGATGCGGGTGGGCTGGGTGGCTGCACAGCCCGTGGGCAGGGGCGCAGCCAGGCACGGATGGGGCTCTCCGTGCAGGGGACATCCCTGCCAGCTCCACGGGCGCTTCCCCCATCCCCTCCTATAAATAGCCGGTGCCTGGGACACCGGGGTTGGGTGCCAGGGGACACGCTGTTCCCGGCCTGGGGAGGCTGGCACTGCCCCCGGCACCGGCTCCTGGCCGCGCGGGCATCGCTCACCGCCGTGTTGGGCTCCACGAGCCGGTGCTGCAGGTCGCGGGCCTCCTGCCAGCGCCCTTCCCGGCACAGCCGCTCCAGCTGGCACAACGGGGCGCCCAGCACGTTGGCCAGGGCGCAGATCCCCCCRACGGCACCTGCGGGCACATGGGCAGCCTGCACTGTCTGTGCCCGCCTTTCTCCCTGCTCACCCCCTGCTCCCAGCCCCAGGGCCGGCTCCCTGGGGCCAGCAGGGCCACTCGGCACCTACCCATGGCGTAACTGGCCAGTAGGAAGCCGGCCGATCCCGCCAGCACCTGGAAACCTTCCTGCCGCGTCTTGTGGACGATGAGCGCCAGGCGGGTGATCTGGGGCAAGACACAGGGCACCATTTGGAGCTGAGGATCCATGTCCCGGCTTCCCAACCTCTCCCTGCTGCCCAGGGAAGTTGGCACCAAACTCACGTCCCCACCGCTGTCCTTGATCCCCACGATGTTGGGGTGCTGCGCCAGGGTGAGCACGGCCTCCAGCGGCAGCTCCAGGCCGGTGTTGGCGGGGACGCTGTAGAGCACCACGGGCACGGGCGACGCGTCGGCCACCTTGCACGCACCGAGTGGGGCCGGGCTCAGCGCGCTGCCGCCAGCGTGCAGCCCGTGCCGCCCGGCGGAGYGCGGCGCCCACCTCCGTGTAGTGCCGCACCAGCGCGGCGCTGCTCATGGCACCCCGGTAGTAGCAGGGGGTCACCACGAGCGCTGCGTCGGCGCCCGCCTCTGCCACGCTGGCCGTCATCTCCACGGTGGCGCGCGTGGCTGCGGAGGAGGCCGTRCCGTGGGGGTCCCCGCGGCGTCCCGTGGGGGTCCCCGCGGCGTCCCCGGCGCTCCCCGCACACTCACATTCGCAGCCCGAGCCGGCCAGCAGCAGGCGGCCGGCGGGCAGCACGCAGCGCACGCGCCTCAGCACCTCCAGGCGCTCGTGCGGCGCCAGCAAGGGGTACTCGCCGCTGGAGCCCTGCACCACGACGCCTGCAACACAAGGAGGGGCGGGCGGCGCCGGGGGTGGCAGCGGGGCCCGGGGCCAACCCCCTGCACGCTGGGTGCCCCTGAGCTCAGGGCTCCCTCACTGGGGCGCACAGGGCCCCTCTGCATCACTGGAGCCCACATTGCCAGGAGGGATTGTGCGCCCAKGGTGCCTGCGTGAGCGCTGCAGGTGCCCCTGCCCTGCCAAGCGTCCGCAGCGGCCACCAGCCCAGGAGCAAAGTCCGTCGGAGGCCCTGCGCCCGCGGGAGGCCCCGGCTGCAGCCGCCGCGGCCCCCAGGAGACTCGGCGGAGCCCGCGGCACGGCTGGGCTGCGCTCACCTCGGAAGGGCAGCCCCGCGTAGCGGCGCACGTTGCCCTCCAGCTGCGCATAGTCCACGTCCTGCGCGGGCGACAAGGGGGTGACGAGGGGCGGGTAGATGCCGGCCAGGTCGAGCGCAGGGCGCGGGGCCAGCGCGGTGCCGAGCCCCCGGCGCAGCAGCAGCCGGAGCGGTGAGGRGAGCCCTGCGGCGAGCGCCATGGCCGTCCCAGTGCCAGGCGCTGGCAATGATTGACCAGACGGGGAGGGATCCGGGGCAGGGCCGAGGCGGCATCCGGCAAGACAGGGGTCCCTTCCCGCCCCTCCGCAGCCTGCACGCGGAGTGGCTGCTGCCCGGTGCAGCCCTCGCCCCACTTTTCCTCCATGGATTCATGTATCGTCTGCAGCACTGCAAGCAGGAAGCTTGCAGCGCACACAGCACGAGGGTCCCGTGGTCCCCACACTGCCACAATGTGCCCCATCGCCCTGAGGACTCTGTGGGTGCCTGATGCCACACAAGGCAGCCGGATAACCCAGTTCCTGCCCACGGCCACCTCGCTGCCTGGCACATCCCCGAGCCCAACTGTGCTTTGCCAGCTTTTATTGACACGGACAAAGCCCCAGCAGCGCCTCGGAGCGGAGCTGGGCCCGGCGCCGTCACGCGGGGACCTCCATGTCGCCCTGCGGCCGCTCCTTGGTCTCCAGCGCCTGGCGCGTGTCCACCTGCCACTGCTGCACCAGGTCCGTGGGCGTCTTGCCCTCCTGCGAGCGCAGGCAGGGGGTGGTTGGGCGCGAGGCAGCCGGGCTGGTGCGGGTCCCCGCGGGCCGCTGCGCTCACCAGGTTCCTGGCCATCATGTCGGCCCCGTGCAGGATGAGCATCTTGATGATCCTGTAGCGGCTGAGGCGCGTGGCGTCGTGCAGMGCCGTGTCGCCTTCCTGCGGCAGGGACAGGCAGTGCCAGCCCGGAGGCTGCGCGTGCCCGGCGCCGCCGCGCGGCCCGCCGGCCACCTACCCTGTCGGCGGAGTTGATGTGCGCCCCGCAGTGGATGAGGTGCTCCACGATGTCGGGGTGCCCGGTGCGGGTGGCCACGTGGAGCGGGGTGCTCAGCAGCTGCGCCGGGGCGGACGTGCAGCGGGCAGCATCAGGGTGGCCTGCCCGCCGCCGCGGTGCCCCGCGCCCCGTGGCCGCCCGTCCCGCCTCACCTTGTCCTTGAGGTTGAGGTCGGCGCCGCGGTCCTGCAGCAGCTTCACCACGTCCAGGTGGCCCCCCCGGCAGGCCCAGTGCACGGCGGTGCAGTCCAGCTGYGCACGCAGAGCCCGGTCACGGCTGGGGACACCGCCAGCCTGTCCCTGCTCCCTGTCCCTGTGCCCAGGCAAACCCGGCCCGCGGCACCTCCACGCTCCTCGCAGAGCATCTCCTCCTGCCTGGCCCCACGTGTGGGCACGGGGCACCCCAAAGCGCCGCTCCCGGCAGGGCTCCCAGGCTCACCCGGTCCCTGAAGTCGACGGTGGCACCGCTGTCCAGCAGCTTCCGCAGGATGTCCATGTGTCCCTCCAGCGCAGAGCGGTGCAGGGCCGTGCGGTGGAACTGGGGGCAGCAGGAGCTGTGCTGGCACCCACTGGCCCCACTAGCCCCAGCACATGGGGCAGCCCATGGGGCAGCCAGGCACGGTGCGATGGGACGAGCGSGACTCGTCCCCACAACTCCGTGCCCCGGTGCCCGGCATCAGGGCATTGCGCCAGGCGCCCGCCAGCCGCCAGGCAGCTCTACCTCGTCACACGTGTCCGGGGAGCCTCCATCTGCCAAAAACTTCTCGATGACGCGCATTTTCCCCCGCACGGCGGCTCGCAGGAAGGTTTCTGGCTCCACAGGGCCCTCCTGGGGCAGGGGGACAGGACATGGCASCGTATGGGGACAGCGTGGGGCTTTTTGCACCCAGCTGTCCCTGTGGAGGACACAGCYGTGACCGGTCTCCCGGCTCCCCGTGCCGGGACTGCCCCCACATACGATCTCCGGGGAGTCGGGCGGYGGCGGCGGCTCGGGGGTGGCCGCCCGCTCCTCGCGGCGCTTGCGGCGCTGCTTGCGCAGCTCGATGAGGTGCTGGATGCTCCCCACGTCGATGATCTCCCGCCGCAGGTCCACGGAGCTCCTCCGCGCGCGCTCCTGGCCCTGGGGGGGACGCGCCGCCCACGTGCCCTGTGCTGGGAGCCGAGCGCGGCACAGGGGGCTGCGCTGCCCTCCGTGCACTGCAGCCTCCCTCCAGCCCTGCCCCRTGCCCGGGCCCACCTTGAGAGCCTCGACGCCCCGGTTCCTGGCGCCGYGGCGCTTCTCCTCCTCCAGCTCCGGCGTGTCCATCCGCTCCACGGGCGGCGGCTCCCGGGGACCCTCCGCCTTGAGCCTCTGCGGGGACACGCGGTGCGGGGGTGCTGAGCAGCGGCCCCGCACCCGGCACCCAAYGCCCCGCGGGCAGGACCCACCTGCTCCTCCTCCGCCAGCTTCTGCTCGATGAGCTCCGTGGCCCATTGCACGTCGGGCTCCATGGCTGCGGTCTGGGGGGGTCCGGCGCTGGCCGCAGGGCTGCGGGTGGCCTGGCCGGCCGCGGGGCTTTTTATGCCGCCCGCCGCTGCGTCCCGCTGCCCAAGGGCACCGACAGCTGTGGCTGCTCCACATGACTGGGGCAGCTTTGCCATGAGCTCACTGCTGCTTTCTGGTGCCCCCGGCTCACCCCCGAGCGCCCGGCGCGCTCTTAAAGAGACTGGGGTCCCCTGTCACCCCGGCTGTGCGGGGGGACCCCGTGCCAGGCTGCGCCGTGCATGGGCACCCTCGGTGCAGCCACGGGACGGCGCCGCGGGATGCGCCGCTCGGCGCCCATCGCCCCGTCCCTGCCGTAGCTCCCTGTGGCCACAGCGCTCCCTCGGCTTTGGAGGATGACCTCAGGCGGGGAGCGTCCCAGGCAGCCCTGGCGGGCCCAGGCGTCCGGCCGGCGCACGGGCAGCCTGGCAGCAGCCGGCTCACGCGGGGCCGTGGCCGCAGCTATTCCCGGCCACGTGCACTCCCCGGCCCTCCCGGGCTTTGCTTTCCCCTTTTGTAAGATGAGGCCAGCGCTGCCCTGTGCTGGGACAGTTAATGCGCTGGGCACCCGCCATGGGGACTGGAACGGAGACAAGAGAGGGACGGGCACGTGTCACCCTCTCCGGGGAGCGCTGGCCGCGCGCCAGGGCCACCCTTGGGTGCCAGAGCCCCAGGTGCAGCAGGGCCAGCGCTGCTGAGACACAGAGAGTGGGGACAGGACCCCTGACGGACACCCCGAGCTGGGCCCGGAGGTGGGGGCAGGAGCAGGGATGAAAAGGCTTTATTGATAAATACACGGACTATGTACAGCCGGGAGACATCTCCAGCTGGCCCAGCGCTCCGGGCACCGGGAGCAGCAGCCTCGGCCTGCCCCAAGGCCGAGCGCAGCAGGTCATGGCCTCTCCCCGGCGGGAATGCCGCGGGAAACGCCGGCACCCAGGGACATGTAGCCCTGGACCTTCTGTAGCCAGTGGGGCCGCATCCTTGTCCCCAGCGGCGAGGGGCTGCCACAGCCTGGGGCAGCCCATGGGCCCAGGAGCCCTGCAGAGCCGAGCAGGGGCCTCTCCGTGCGGGTGCCAGGGCACCCAGGGGCTGCTGCTGCGTCCCCACGTGGGACAGGAGCTGCGGGCTCTGCCACTGCCAGCCCCGTCCCGCCGGACCCGCGCGGGCGGGCGCTCAGTTCCTGGGAGGCAGCGGCTGGTTCACGATCACTTGCACGACAAAATCCTTCTGGATCTTGGTGTCCTGCAGGCGCGTGCGGTCGGTGAGCAGCTTCCCCGAGAAGAACCAGCGCTGCCAGGCCAGCTCGATGCCCTCCTGCGCCTGCAGCTGCTTCTTGAGCTGCCCCACGGTGTCGCCCATGCTGGCGCTGAGCCGCAGGTCCTTGCCCGTGGAGAGGCGCACCTTGAGCGCGAACTCGCGCCGCGCGCCGGGCAGCGGCTCCGCCGCCTCCGCRCTCTCCTCCTCGCTCCGCTCCAGGATGAGGTTGACGGGCGGCGCCAGGCAGTACACGGGCAGCTGGTACCGGTTGCCCAGCTCGTCGTAGCACTCGGTCAGCGACCCTGGGGACAGTGCRGGGAGAGGCTGGGGGCACGCGGGGGACACGGCCGCCCCACGCGGTGGGCGCAGAGCCAGCCCCATGCCCGGCAGCCTCTCTTCAAGGCAGGGCTGTGCCCAKGGCCTCCCCAGGACGTGGGGTGGGCAGCAGCGCCGCTCACCGTGGGGCAGGGTGATGCTGGCGCCGTCCAGGATGGCCTGGGCCAGGCTGTGCTCGTTGGCCTCCACGGCGTAGGCGGCCGCCTTGAGCGCGTCCCAGATCTCCTTACGGCCCTCGAAGGCRGGCGCCGTGTCCCAGAACTCGTCCCGCTTGCTGCGCAGCTGCCCGTCCGTCATGGGGTAGTCGCTCTTCCACTTGGGACGCTCCTTCTTCAGGGGCTCGTTGCGGCCTGCGAGGGGGCGGGATGCTCAGGGGGCTTCCCGGCAGCCCCGGCACCCCGCGACGTGTCCCTGCCAGGCACAGGACGGTCCCCAAAGTRGTGACAGGACTGGGTCCCTTGGCCCTGTGCAGAGGGGACTGTCGAGGCCGTGCCGGGACGGCCTCTTCCCCGTGGGGTGGCCACGAGGCCTCGGCCCCTGTGAGGCAGGGCAGTATTTATAGCTCGRGAATTAGCCAGGGAATAAGCAGGAGAGGGATTACAGGGGCTGAGCCGCGGCCCGGGCGGCAGGGCAGGACTCGTGGGTCCTCTCTGGCGTCACCCCGGCCACGTGGGCACCTGGCGCTGGGGCCGCACGGATGGGCTCGCGGCTCCCGAGCCCCGTGGGAACAGGCGCATCCCGGCAGCCCCACGGCGGGGCCGGAAGCGTGGGGCAGGAAGGAGCTGCTGTCACTCCCAGCCGGGCCGGGGACAATGCGCGACAACCGCTCCTTCCTGCCGCCCCTCTGCGGGCCGCCCAGCGGGACCGCTCCGGATGGGGGGATGCGGACRAGCCCGGAGCTCCTGCAGGAAGGAGGCCATGCGCCTACACAGTGACAGGCCCACTGCCACCCTGGGGGCAGTCGCGGCCCCACGCCACCCGCCGRCACACACCGACCCCTGCACGAGGGGCAGCCAGTGCCCGCCGAGCTGTGCGCCCCAGAGCGCTTTTCCCTGGAAAAGCACACACGCTTTTCCCTGGAAAAACACAACGCGATGCCTGCTTGCACAGTGAGCACCAGCCCACAGCTGGGTGCACACACAGCACCCATGCCGGGGACCCGCAGGGTGCAGGAGGGCTCGGCTACCCCGAGCAGCAGCACCCGGAGCACCGTGCGGCACCCGCATCCCCCGGGGAGCCAGGGCGGGCGCAGGCAGCGCTGCCGATTCAGCAGTCACGGTGCTGGGCAGGAGGGATCTGCAGCAGCGTGGGACGCAGCAAGGTCACACAGAGCAGCTGCCCCGGGACGGCACCGTCACCGCCTGGAGGATGCGGGATGTGGAGCTGCCAGCCCTGTGGGCCACGGAGCCCAGCCGGACCTTCCCGCTGCCTCCCCCCGCGGCCACCACGGGCACCTGGGGGAGGCCGGGAGCGCAGGGACAAGGGGGAAGGTCTCCAGCCCTGTCCCTGCCGCCTCCGGCGTCACTGACGCCCCTCTCCACGCCAGCCCGCTGGGGACACCAGGCTCCTGGCGAAGGTCTCCAGTGCRTGGCACCGTCGTGGTGCCGTCACCCTCCACCCCGCGCGCCGGCTGGGAAAGGAGGTGCTGCGAGACCCAGTCCGCATCACCGCCCCCGCTTCACTTCCAGCGAGGGGAAGCATCCGGGGCCAGTTGGCGCACGGGAGCGGGATCACGGCCGTCGGGACGGATGAGCTCCCGCACGGGCAGCCGGAGCGGGCCGGGCCGGCGCGGGCGGCCGGGACGTGGCGGCGCAGGTAGGCGGCAGCTAAGCCCCTCTGCTTATCGCTGCCGCTAATCACCTCGCGCCGCTCTATTCCTGGCCCCGTTGTGCAACCCGCGCAGCAGCAGCGCCTCGGCACGGGCCCGGCTGCGCCCGGCCTCGCTCCAACAGGATGTGGTTGGCAGCGTCTCCCGCGCCGCGGCCCTGCCGCCTGCCGTGCCACAGCCCTGCCCTGCCTGGAGTCGCAGCTCCGGCACCCCGGGATCACCCCATCCCAGGTCAGGCATGTCCTGGAGCTGCAGGGAGCTCCCTGCCCCAGGGCAACGCGCACCGACACCCTGCTCTGCGCCACAGGACACAGGGCGGCAGTGCCAGCGGTGCCCGGAGGCCGCTCCGCAGCCCTGCGGCTCTGTCCTGCCCCAGCCCTGCGGCTGCGCCCGGCTGCCCGGGACACGGCGGCCACCTGCAGCGGGAGCCCTGCCAGGAGCCGCCTGAGGCRGCTCAGCCCGAGCTCGGCCCGTGGCCATCGGAGCCCTCTCGCCCGGGAAGGGGAGGACAGGACGCAGTTCACAACAGCACAGAGCAGGAAGAGGGGATGGGAAATGCCGGATCCACCTGGGGCCATGCAGGGTCCCGGGGGGCAGCCAGCCAGGCCCACGCGCTGCATGGTGGGGTCCCACGGCAGCCGAGCCGGAGGACCTGCTGTCCCTGCGCTCCCATCCCACAGCAGCTCCCTGTGCATCCCTGCCCCACACCCTCCATTCATCACCCATGGGTGCAACCCTCTGCCACCGGCTGAGGCAGCTCCACCACCCCGCAAGCAGGGCAGGAATCGCCCTGGGGACAGCCGGGCTCTGCCACAGGCTGCACACACAAGCTGTCGGTTCCGTAAACCCACTGGGGCGCCAGGGCTGCCCTGGCCATCACTGCCCCCCCATGCCCTTGGCGAGCCCTGCCCGAGGCGGCCAGGAGCTCGGCACGGACGCGGGAAGCCTCGCAGGGAGAGCTCCGGGCTGCGGGACTGCGGCAGCAGCAGCTCCAGCCACCGCGGCCCTGCAACCAGACACCGTGGCGGCCRCGGGCGCCCGCGAGAGCGGCCGCGCTCGGGGCCGAGCAGAGCCCCGGTGCTGCAGCTCACCTTGCAAGGGCGCCGCTGGAACGCCGCGCACGGAGCCGCCCGCGCTGCCCCCTCCCAGCGCGGCGGCACCGCGCCAGCGCCGAGCTGTTTGCCAAGGGCCTCGCACACCCACGGCGCCGAGCAAACAGCCCGGCCGGGGCCCAGCTGCGCCCGCAAGGAGCCTGCAAGGAGACGCCTGCAGCCGCAGGGCTGCAGCCCCGGGGCTCCTGCACAGCCCGGCGCATGGARCTGTCCGTGGGGAGCAGCTCACTTGGTGTCGACCGTGCTGGGTGGCTGCGCTGCTCTGGGCATCGAGCCCTTGAGGCTCCATAGAGCACCCCGAAAAGGATCCTTGGATTCCTGGGCATGCCCGGAGCCGGCTGCCCACCATGCGCCTCCGTGCATGAACCGCGTCCGCTGCCCTCGGACAACGTCCCCAAAGCCCTCGGCAGGCTGGGAGGCAGCAGCAGTCATGCCAAAGCCCCACGCACAGGCTCTGCCTGCTCTCGCCAGCGCAGGGCTGGCTGACTCGCATAGAGCCTGCCGGAAAATCCTCTTTCCTTCCCAGCCACCTGCAGCTCGGCTCCCACGAGAAGCGACCTGCACGCTCGGCGCTTCCTCTTCCTCCTCTCCGGCCTCCACAAGCGCTTGGCTCCAAACACAACAATTATCAAGTGGGTGCAACGTGTGCTGCTATTGCACCGGCTGGGGAGGAGGGCGCCGGGAAGGGAGGCATGATTCACCCTGCCGCCCGCACGGCTCCTGGCGGGGCCGCATTTGGGAATGCAGGGGCTGGCTCYAACACTAGGAGCCCCAGCGGAGCCTGCCAGCGAGTTTTCCTGGGAATCACRGCTGCACGCTGGCAATTCCAGAAGCGGAGAGGTGCTCGACTCGTCACCTCTCCCAGCTTRGAGCTCGCACGGGACACACGGCCTGGGTAACCCACAAGCAGCCGGAGCCCGGGGGCGATGACTCCTCCGCTCGGCCTCCCAGCCACTGAATCACCCCCGTGGGCACCGGGCCTGCCGGTGCCACCGGCCCATCCGAGCGGCGCCGCGTGTGGCAACATCCTGGGGAAGCGCCTGACGCAAGCGCCATTCCACAGGGATTCGGGGCTCTCCTCGGGGCGCCGCTCCCTCCCGCGGCCGGGTTGCCCGGGAGCCGCCGGGACGGGGCTGCAGGGCAGCCCGGGGCGCTGCCAGCCGGGACACGGCACCGCGCGGCGCCGGGGACAGCGGGACGGGGCCGGCACCCGAGGCCGCCGCCGTGCGCACGTCGCCGGACACGGGCTGCGACACCCCCTGCCCCGGCGGGCACGAGCCTGGGGTCCCGGCACGATCCCGGCACGGCGGGAGGCGCGCGGGCTCGGGCGGAACAGGAGCCGCCCGCGCCGAGCGGGGCAGCGGAGCGGCGCCGGCGCCGGGGGAAGC